GGAGCCAAGGGGGACCCCAGCGGGGTGGGCCTTGGACCTGGAAGGCTGGTTCCTCTCTGCCCAGGAAAGCCCGACCCGTAACCCCAAGGACCTGGTGGGTGCTTCCCTTGGCTCCTGAGCCTCACTTGACTTGTTGTGGCCAAACTGCCAGCCTTCAAGCTCCCCAGGCCGGAGCGGGTGGCCTGGGGGCGCACACCCGGGTGTGGCTGCTTTTCTGACAACTGCTGGGTTGCCGAGGGATGACTCCAGGGGGCCACGGAGCCTAGCCTGACTGCCAGCACCTGGGCAGCCCACGCTGGGGGTTCCCAGTTCTCAGGGTGTCGGGCACCCACCCCTTCCCACCACACCCCCACTCTCCCCACGACACCCTCTTCTCCCCATGTCTGGCCGGACTCTGGAGAGTCTCTTCCACTGAGGAAGACTGTCCAGATGCCCAGTTAGCAGCGTTGTTGTAGGCGTGGCGCTGGCAGGACAGACAGGTATTGAAGGAGAGCCGGGGCTCCTGCTGCCTCCATGGAACCCTTCCAAAGTGCCTAGTCCACAGCAAGCCCTGTCCCAAACCACGTCCCCCCCGCACTTCCTCCTTCTTCCTAGGGGAGCAGGAAGGCCTGGTCACTGTGCTGTGATATGGGGAACACCTGATCAACTTGATTTTGAACCAGAGTTGAACCCCAAACCCAAATGAACTTAACTTCAACCTTGACATTCCTGGGGACGCCTTAAAGTTCATGAAATGTAAAATTCCAGTCAGCCAGCCTGTGTTTTTTTCTAAAATTATGAAAGAAGCATAAAATTGGAATATCAGCATAAGTTCCAGATCAGAAATGCCGTCAAGGGCTAGGAGGGTGAGGAGTGGCCAGTGGGGGGCTGGGGGCGTGGGGGGAGGGGTGCAGAGGAGAGAAGCTCAGTGGAGGGAGTAGCGGGGAGCTCCTCCACGGGACGTGGCTCTCTGGGGCTGACCTGGGTGTCCGGCAGGCTGGAAGCTCCCGGGTGAGCCTCCCTCCGTGACCAGAGCTCTCTCTCTCCGTACCCAGATCCCCATGCCGAGTGTGCCTACGTTCCAGCCCTCCACGCCCGTCCCTGAGCGCCTGGAAGCCGTGCAGCGCTACATCAGGGAACTGCAGTATCCTCCGCGGTCAGGGTCGCAGCTGCCGTCCGGCTGGTCCGGAGCCGGCTGGGGCTTGTTTCCAGACAGGGCCAGAGGGCGCTGGGCCGAGCAGCCGCACCCCCTGACTCCAGGGGGTGCCATTCCCACGGCATCTCTGAACCCCCGGAGTCGTGTGCACACCGCCCGTGTCCTCCCGGGTATCGGAGCCGGTTTGTCTGATGAACACCACACCTGCTCTGGCCTCCTGGCCGCCCCCTTCCTCCTCTGTGTGATGGGGTCAGTGTCTCCTGACTGACCCACTGGTGGAAGCCTAGTCCAGGTCCGCCAGCCCAGACCTCCTCTGCTGAGCCTCCAGGGCCAGCAGAGAGAGAGGCGGGGGAAGCTCCCTTGGGGCTGTTTAAAAACTGGTCTAAAAGAGGTGTGTGTTGGGGGAAAGGGTGTGTGTTGAGGGAAGGTAGCAGGTAGATGGAGGAGAAAAAGGAGTTTTATGCTCCAGGAGACAGCTTCCACATCTTGGACGTATCCCCTACTTCTTCACCTTTTTCCTCCCTGGCAGGAAGCCAGCTGCCCAGCATGGGGAAAGCCTTGGGACACCCCCAAGCCCGGGATTCCCCTGTGTCCCTGAGCTGAGCCTCTTCCAGTCCTGGGCCCTGCCTGGAACTCTTCCACCTGGGCTCCCCCTGACCCTCCTATCTGCTGATTCGGTGCTAGACAGCAGGACCCCTAAGGGCCAGGCATGGGTCCTGAGCAGAAGAAAAGTAAAGCTGGTTACTGAAAATTGGGTCCAGCCCAATTTGGGGGGGAGAGGGTAGGGGGCAGAGATGGGGACTGGTGGCCCAGCGAGGGACTGGTTGGCTTGGGAGCAGCACCCAGCAACAGAGCCGTGTAGGAATCCCACTCCAGCCTTCTCCCATCCGTTTGTGCTGTTTCTCACCAACTGGAACATGCAGTACTGCTGAGAACTGTCCACGGCTCAGGCGTCTCTCCCGGCCCTGGCCAGCCTGGCTGCCTGCTGCCCGGCTCCCTTCCTGGGAGAGGAAAGCTGGGAACAGAAGATGAGTGAGGACAGAGGGGGGCCTTGTGGGGGAAGGAGCCAGCGGCATGCTGTGCCCTCCTCTCCCTTCAGACGATCACGCCCTGAACATCCTCCTGGGCACTCTCCAGAAGCACTCTGGGAGGTCCTTACCCAGCCTGTGCCCCCAGGGTCTGGATAGGGGCAGAGGGACACACCTCTTCCAGATCAAGCCAGAGAGCCCTTAACCAGCACCCACAGGTACAATCACACAGGGACACAGTTCTTTGAAATTAAGAAGAGCAGACCTCTGACAGGGTAAGTATGGGGAGCACAGGTCCCTCTGCACCAGGTCACAAGGCCTGGTCTGGTTGGAGCCCCTCGGTCACCTGTGGGTGGAAGCTTATCAGGCAGGCAGGGACTCTTCCCAGGGGAGCCCGCCAGCAAAGCAGGTACCACCGTGTGACCCTCCTTAGGATGTCCTAAAGAGGGGACTCTGGCCAAGATGGGCAGCCAGGGCTCCCTTGAGGAAAAGGAACCCCAATATCCATGCTGAGCCAAGAGAGGGAACGCCAGTATCCATGCTGAGCCAAGAGGGTGATGGCAGCCCACCCTTGGTAATGACAGGATGGTCTCAGGTGGATGTCTGTGTGTGAGCCTCATCTTCCTTTTAGGAGAGGTGGGCCTCACAGGAGAGTCCTCCCCCTTCTCTCTGTTCCCTGGCATCACCCCAGTTACCTTACTGGACTCGCTTCTGGTCATTTGGTACAAGGCCCAGTGTTTGAGCGGGAGGGACCCTACTGGGGAGAACATTGCATATCTCACTTCCCATTCTGCTCCCCAAGTGTAGACCCCTGGCTGGATTCACCCCATGGAAACCCTTAGGGCAGAGTAGAGTGGAGAGTGAATAGCACAGGTGGGTCTGGGGGCTCAGCCCAAAGCTGTCTACAGGTTTAAAACCCTGTGCTTTTATGAGGAATGTGAATTTTACATCGTGCTCCACGTATAATCAACCCATGATCACTTCCTTATGAAAAATGTTTTAAATGGTTTATTAGCTAAATTACTTAATCACCCCTTCTCTGAGCCCTTGGGGGGAGTGCAGCCTTCCTCACCCCAAAGCTTTGCTCTTGTCCGGTGCCTGCTGTGTGTGCGGGACCAGCTCCAGCCTCATGGGACGGAGGAGTCTGACACCCTCCCCTCAAAGCCAGTGGCCAGGATGCATTCCCAGACCCAGGGGGCAGCATTAGGTAAGGAGGGAGGAACCAGGCTTCAGAGAGAGTCTGTTTTAAAGTGGCCTGAATTCCATGTTCAAGACCAGGCAGAGGAGTCACTGGGCAGCTAACTGCCTGAGACCCCGTGTCCAGTCTCCAGGGAGCTGGCCAGCCGTGGGCGAGCAGTTACAACAATTAAAGGTTCTTCAGAGAAGTCATAGTTGGGTCAGGGGTGTCCACTGTGCTCCAAAGAAACAAGGTCAGTGCCAAGGTCTCCGGCATCTTTGGCATGCTATCCCATGCACTCCCCAAACACCATCTTTACAGGAGGCCCCCAGCCCAGTGGCTTTCAAAGACCTGCCTGCCACTGCACGCCACCCCCCAACCTCCCTCCCCTCCAGAGGACTCTGGAGCAGGGCTCTGAGGGAAGAGGGAAATGCAGGGACAGAAGGGGAAGGGGCCTCTTTGCTTACTTTCCGTGGTTGTCTCTTCTCCCTCCCCTTAGGCTCAGGAAGGATGTGAGGGGGAGGTGCTGGGCCTGAGCTGAGGCGGCTTGGAAGGCAGGGGAGTCTTTGTCCATCTAGTCTACCTCCCGATGCTCCTTCACCAGAAGGGACTGGAGCCTTTTTCCTCATGACTCTGCCTTCCTCCCCCCCAGGCTGATGGACCTGGCCAAGGAAATGACCAAAGAGGCTCTGCCAATCAAATGCCTGGAAGCGGTGATCCTGGGAATGTATCCTTCCTCTGAGAGGCCTGAGAGGGGGCAGCCACCTCTCACACCTCCAGGGCCATCTTCCTCCTCTGGAAGGGGCTTCCCAGCTCCCTTTCCCAGAAGTCACAAACTTGGCCCCAAAGTGAAGGAGTTTGAGGGGAGTCAGTCTCTTGCACCTCAGTTGGTAACTTCCGAGGCTTACTGGGAAGTTTTTTTTTTGAGCAGTGGACACAGTGACCCTGTTCTCCAAACCACAGATCGGGGTTCATCGTCTCATAAAGCTGCTGTGCTATTTCCAAGAACCAGAGAGTCTGGGAGAAGCAGGTTGGATGCCCAACTGTTGGCATTTCCAGGACATGTGGATCTGTGGAGATGATGCACATCCCCTGATCTTTAAATGTAAAACTGCATATTTAAGAAAAATCAAGATTTCTCAGTCTCTTCCCCACCCAAAGGGCAGAACTAGGACCTATAGCTAGATCACCAGAGTAGTTAGGTAGCATAGACAATGCCCCTAGAGGGGGCACCCAATATCCCTAGTTAAAGCAAAGTTAGGAGACTGGTATATGGCCATTTCTCTGCTGTAAGTGGTTCCTGCTTGAATCCTACCTTGTTTATTACAGAAAATTTTAACCTCATATAAGCATAAATTAACATAGTGCAGCCCATGTGCCCATCACTCAGTTTTACCAATTCAAGGCCAGTCTTAACTCATCTCTGCCTACCCCACACTCTTCCCTGTACCTACCAAGGCTTTTAAATATTCCATCTCCCACTCCCGGACTAGGCACTGGGCTCTGTGCCCAGCAGGGTGAGGGGGCAGGTGCCTAATGGAACAGAGACGAGTCGCTCGTTCAGACAGGTCAGGGAGAAGACGACAACGCTCACAGGCCAGGAGCGCAGCTTCTCTGAGGGGGATCAGATCCCCACCCCCATAGACATACCTGCCTTAAACTGTACACAGAGACTGCAGGGGTGACCCCCCAGTCCTCCTCCCTGAGGGCTAATCCCACTGTGGCAGTCCTTTGCTGCCCAAAGGGACCCACCAGCATTGCCTTGTCCAAAGGGTTCTCTGCTGGGACGAGTGTGAGGCCAGCCCAGGGACTCCAGGCCGCTGCCAGCGCCTCCTTCACCACCCCACGTTTGCTTCTCCTTCAGGACCACACTCCAAAGTGGAGGTTCCCACCCCCTTGTAGGAGGGACACCCTGCTCCCCTCCCCGTGAGCATATAGAGAAGCTAGTCCAGACGGGATCACATGGTCCCAGAGGCCTTCCAGGGGTTACCTGCTGGCTTGTGGGCAGGAAGAAAATAGGAGTAGCTCCCCATCTGGACGGGACATCTCCCTGCTGTCCCCATAGAACTGCCACAGCTCCCTTCTGAACACGTGATGCGCACTGTACTAAGTCTGTTCCCGGTCTCATCCTCACCGCACTCAGAGCCTGCACCTGGCTCACCTGTGTTCCCAGTCATTTGCTTGCAAGGAGTCAGGCCTGGTCAGCATCGCAGTGACTGTGCACAGACTGCAGGGTCAGGCCAGCCTGGACCTGAATCCTAGCTCTGCTGCATCCTCACTGTGGCCTCAAGCAAGCTCCTTAGCATCTCTGGGCCTCGGAGTCCTCTTCTGCAGAAGGGAACAATGGCAATCCCATCCCACAAGTTTGTTAATACAGTTAAACAACAAGGTGCACGTTGGACACTGGATGCAGTGTCTACCTGGTCTGTATGCCAAGCTTTTATCCTGTCCATCTCATTCTACCCATTTGTTCAAAAAGAGTTTTGAGTGCCTGTCATGTGCCATGTCTGTGCTGGGCCCCAGAGATACAGTAGAAAAAAAAAAATGACAGACAAGGTGGTCCCCATTAAAAGTTTATATTCTAGCCAGGGGGACAAAAAGTAAGCAAGTAAACCAAGAAATAAGAAAAATAATACAGATTGTGGTGATGTGCCACGGGGAACATAAGGACAGCAGATTTGCTTTAGGAAGGGAGGTCAGCGGTCCCAGCCAAGCCTGAGGCCTGAGAAGGAGCTAGGAGAGCCCAAGGAGCCGCCAGAGAGAAGAGCGGGTGTAGACGGTCCTCCGTGGAGGTTGGAGTGGACAGCTGACTGCCTCCCAGGCCACCAGCAACCTTGGTTTTATCGGAAGAGCAGCGGGCACGATATCTACGCATAGAGGGGTGGGGGCGGTGAGAGAAAAGGAACAGGATTGTGCCTCTGTGATGCACACATGTGCATCAGCAAGTGTGAAAGGAAGGGCAGGAGGAGGAGGGAGGTGAGGGGGAGACAGACAGACAGACAGGCAGGCTGGTGGATGGAGGGCCTCACACTTACCTCACCCCATCACTCTGGAAGGCCGGGCAGTTGAGGGTGCCTTGCTCACTGTTACTTGGTGAGCTCTGCTCGCAGTCATGGCAGCAGCCGGTAATCATTGAGCGCCTACTGTATGCTGGGCCCAAGCCTGATGACAGGGTGTGGATGAGCAAGACCCGTCGTCCGCACTGGGGAGCCAGGGTCCACACTGGGGAGATGGGTCCGCACTGGGGAGCTGGGGTCTGGGGCGGCTCACACAGCCCCTCCTGGGTGGGGTGCGCGGGGTGGGACCGCCCCGCCCCTGCTTCTAGCCGTTTCCTTAGCTACGCTGGCCCGGCCAGTTACCTCACCAACAGCATGCCCACCCTGGAACGCTTCCCCATCAGCTTCAAGACCTACTTCTCAGGGAACTACTTCCGCCACATCGTGCTGGGGGTGAACTTCGGGGGTCGCTACGGGGCGCTGGGCATGAGCCGGCGCGAGGACCTGATGTACAAGCCGCCGGCCTTCCGCACGCTCAGCGAGCTCGTGCTGGACTACGAGGCCGCCTACGGCCGCTGCTGGCACGTGCTGAAGAAGGTGAAGCTGGGCCAGTGCGTGTCCCACGACCCACACAGCGTGGAGCAGATCGAGTGGAAGCACTCGGTCCTGGACGTGGAGAAGCTGGGCCGCGAGGACTTCCGCAAGGAGCTGGAGCGGCATGCCCGCGACATGCGGCTCAAGGTGCATGCGCACCGCCCTGCCCAGGGCATCCAGGGGCTGGGCAGGGGTGGAGGGGAAGGATGGGGCTGGAAGGGCAGAGGTGAGAGGTGGAAGGGCAGGAGTGGGGATGAAATGGGTGGGGGCAATGGAAATGTAGGGGTGGAGTGAAAGGGCAGGGGTGGAGATGCCACTTCCTAGAGGCTCGCTCTTCCAGGGAAGTCCGCTCTTGCTCCCCCATCTTCCCAACCCACCATCCCCACCATCCCCATCCCACCTTCTCGGGAGAGGTGGAGCCAGACGTTGGGGAGGTGAGGGTAGGAAGTTTCTGGGCTTCGCTCACAGGTCACTGCTGATGAGACAACCACCTCAGGTGGGCAGCCCCGGGGAGGCTCTGGTCGGGCCACAGGGGAGCTGGGTTTGGGCCTAGGCAGGGGTGCTGCCATCCTGGTGGAGGGACTGCAAGTCAAGGCTGGTGGGGAGCCATGGCCTGTCTGGAGGGAGTGGTATCGTGTGGGCCAGGCGGCAGCTTCCATCACCCCTGTCATCCCGACTCTTGACCTCCAGCCCCGGGGGGAAGTCAGAAATGGGAAGCGGGTCAGACAGTGGGGAGACAAGGAGGGACGGCTCCTTCTCCCTCTTGGCCGGCCGCAGTGAGCAGGGGTCATGGTGGGTGTGGGGGTGCTGCTGGACCGAGTAGTGAGCTGAGATGCTTGCCCCCAGAGCCTTTCAAAGTGAGCCAAAGCTTGGCCTCTCTCTGGGTCCCCCTGGACTTGCGGGGGGCCTTCCGTGGGGCCTACCAGCCCCTCCCCTTTGCCCAGCCTCTGCAACTCCGCGCTCTGCCTCTCCTGGCAGCCTGGGGCCACAGCCGTGACCCTGGCAGTTTCATGTCCACTGTGGCTCCCCAGGACCCCAGGAGGGCCGCAGCGGGCAGGGGAGGACACTGAGGTGCGGGGAGCCCAGAGACTTGCTTGCAGCCTGTGGGCGGCAGATGGGCCGGGGGCTCAGTCTCCGGATAGGGAACCTAGGCACATCACAGGTGCTTTCAGGAATCCTGGCCACCCTGCCCTGCCAGCCCCCAGACCAAGACCAGGGGTGACAGCGACGGTGCCTTCCTTCCCCAGGGCAGCAGCAGACTGCAGGTGACCCCGCTGCTTTCGGGAGCTGCCCTTCTCCATCCTCTAGCTGGTCCTCCCCGCTGGTCCTCCCCTGTGGAGGTCTGGGTGCCCAGCTGCCCGAGTATCACTGCACCTTCAGGGGAGCAGGCTGGATCTAGAGCTGGAGCCAGTATTACCTAACTTCAGGTGCTGTGTTTCCCAATCCGCTTGGTGCTTCAGACCTCCCGCGTTATTTGCACCACCACCCTCCAACACCCATCCTGTATACCCCACGTTTTGAAAATTCAGCTCAAAGGGACTGTGTCGCCTAAGTTCACTTGCTCCCCCCACTTCCTTTATCCCCCTTCATCAGAGATGTTGCCACTAGTCTGAGCTTCTGATTAACTGGAGATAACCTGTGTCACCTGTGGGTCTTTGGGCTCCCAGCCCCAAGCTCAGACACAGGCTGCTTCTCCAGCTTGCCCCTCTGCCCGGCCTGGGTAAACACTCCTTTTCTCAGGGGCCACCATGAACCCTCCCCAGTCACTGCTGCCCACGTCCATGCTGTTTCAGGGGCTGATGGGGTTTGGGCCGCCCTGCTGTGGAACCCCCGAGGCGCTGGCCACTTTAGCGCCCGGGAAATGGGTTCAGGAAGACCCCAAGAGAGCGCAGAGCAGGGCTTGAGGCTTCCTGGGCCCTGTCCAGAGCAGTTTTGGGGCTGGTGGCTCCGTCAGGACAGGACAGGATCTGGGGCAGTCCTGGAGTGAGTCTGTGTGCCTTCCTCCCCACCCAGATCGGCAAAGGGACGGGCCCTCCGTCTCCCACCAAGGACCGGAAGAAGGATGTGTCCTCCCCACAGCGGGGCCAGTCCAGCCCCCACCGCAGGAACAGCCGAAGTGAAAGGCGGTGAGCCCTGGGTTTCCCCTTGCCTGGCGGGGGGGATAGGGAGGGGGTAGGTGCACAAAAAGTCTTCATCCTTTCTGCTCATCTTCCCCTCCCTCTGATCTCCCCCCAAGCTCATCACATTCCCACCCTTCTCTTTGTCTTCCCCAATGGAGGGAACCTGGAAGGGTGGGTTTGTTCGTATGTTGATACAGCCACGATGAAGTCCCGTTTCTCCAGGGAGAGGACATCCCTGGCCCACCGGTTACCCTGTGTGGGCACCCTGGTGCCCAGCAGAAGGCCCCCAGGGGAAGATCCAAGGCCACCACCGCAGAGCTGCAGAATGGGCTCTGGGGGAGGGAGGGTAGAAGGCGGGGGCCCAGCCAACAGTGAGCTCTTCCAGGAATATTGCCGGAAAAGGCTTAACCTCAGGTGGCAGCCGGTGGATGGCTTTGAGCGTAACCTTTGTCCCTGCGAGAGTCAGTGGGTTTTGCCTGTAACCAGATGGCAGAATCATTCTGATAAAACGCCCGGTGGCCTCATCAGATCTGTCTCCTCCATGTCAGTCTGGTTCTTGCTTTAAAGGTCATTCTGGAGACCCCTCCAGGTTATATGGGATTCCCTGGTGGCAGAAGCATTCTGATAAAACGCCCGGCGGCCTCATCAGATCTGTCTCCTCCGTGTCGGTCTGGTTCTTGCTTTAAAGGTCATTCTGGAGACCCCTCCAGGTTATATGGGCTTCCCTGGTGGCTCAGATGGTAAAGCATCTGCCTGCCGTGCAGGAGACCTGGGTTTAGTCCCTGGGTCAGGAAGATCCCCTGGAGAAGAAGATGGCAACCCACTCCAGTAATCATGCCTGGAACATCCCATGCATGGAGGAGCCTGGCAGACTACAGTCCATGGGGTCGCAAAGAGTCGGACACGACTGAGCGACTTTACTTTTTCACTTTTCTGGAGACACCTCTCCGGTGTAAAGGGCACCTCTCTGCCTCCCATAGCCAGCCTCCTTCACTTTGACCTGGGAGGCTCTCAGAGAGAACACAGGACCCCTCACAGGGATTCACTGTTACTTCATTACTTAACCTGCAGCCAGAGTGAAGAGCAGTAGCCCATGAGTGTGGGGCCCACTCAGGCCTGCAAGGGGGGTCGGGGTTTTCCAGAAACGCACTTCCATGAGGACCCTTCCTGCTGCATTTGAGACACCTTGGAGAATGGAGAGGCGGGAGCCAGCGGTGGGGGGGACAGCCACCCCTGGATCCCTCCTCTCCCACCTCCCAGAGGGGCCGCTCACCCCTTCCCCCCTCCTCTGTTCTCTCCTCCCTGCAGGCCTTCCGGTGAGAAGAAGCCTTCAGAGCCCAAAGCCATGCCAGACCTCAATGGGTACCAGATCCGGGTATGAGGCGGGTGGCAGCACCCCCTGCCTCGCCCACTTCGGGGGGGACCAGCATCCTCCAGCCAGACCAGCCTCGCTCCCGGGGAACGCGGGGCTGCTGACGGGGCGAGCATGTCGCAGCTCAGCCTCCCAAGCTGCTGTCCCTCCGCTGGGCCAGGCCCTCTTAACTGTGGACCAGGAGGCAGTGAAGAGTTGAATTCTGAGGTTTTAACTTGATAACCTGAAATTTAAAGTATTGGGAAAAAGAAAAACTTAAAAACTAGTGGATCTGGCCAGTGACCGGAAGGCCAATGCTTAGAAGATTCTAAGTGTCGCGGGGCCGGGTGAGGAGGGATTGCTGGCTCTGGCTGGTACCCTTGCCCGTGTGTCTGGGGTTTGGGTCCATCCTCCCCATGGGAAACCTCCCAGCTCTGCTTGGGCCGTGGCGGGATGCGGGAGCGATGTTTCTCCAGTCCTCTCTGCCCTGGCAGCGTTGTGACCCAGGGAAAGGAAAGCAGGGTAGGAAGCGCCCCGAGAAAGGTCTGCGTGGTCCATATCGGGAGCTTAGCACAGGCCCCATGTGCCACAAGAGGCAGAGTGTGTGGCCCAGGAGGGCCCCCATGCCCTTGGAGCCCCACGGACAGCGCTGTGTGGGCGGGCACTGCCCAGTGCTGGGATGCGCTGGACGAGAGCCCGGGAGAGAGCCGCTGGCGGAAAGAGTTCCCAGACCCCTCTCTGGTCCCCTTGCTCAGCCCAGCTCTGCCTGTTGCTGCAGCTGGGGCCTCCCTGCAGAGGGGCCGGGCTTGGCCCGGGGCCCAGAGAGGCATGGGCTCGGCGTGACTGTGGGGAACCAACAGACCTGGTGGGTCCAGGAACCATGGCGGAGGATGAGGTGGGACCCTCAGGCCTGGGTCGGGAGGCCCCCAGGGACTGCTCCCCCTTCCTGTTACCTCAGCCCCTGCCGGGGAAATGAAGACCAGGCCACAGAGGCTTGTATCCCAGCCCCTGCTCTCCTATTCAGCAGCCTGGCTTAGGTGTGGAAGGCCCAGCATGATAGGGCCTGGGGCATGAGGCAGCTCGTTAGGGAAGGGCCTGAGCTGCTGGAGTCTGCACCGCCTGCCTGGCGGGCAAGGGAGAGGTTGTGGAGAGAAGTTGGTGGAACTGGAGGAATGTTCTGGAGGCTCAAGCAACAGAAGAGATGGAAGGCAAATGGTGCAGGGTGGCCACTGGGGAGAAGCAGAGCCCAAGAACTGGGGAGTGTAAGTGAGAAAAGAAGGTGAGAGAGAGTTTAGAACCAGGCGGCCTTGGGGAGTAGTGAGTTCCCCATTGCTGGAGGTATTCAAGCAAAGATTAGATGGTTGCTTGTCATCTAGAAAGCTATAGATTGGACTTAGGTTACGGAAGGATAACTGAAGGAGATGACCGTTTAAGGTTTCT